GGTTAAGTATCTTGCTTGAAGTGACACAACCACATGGTGGTAGAATCCAGAGTCACCAGGAGCTTATTTCTTGTTGATTCTCTGTCTTCCCACTGGGCTGTAATAATCACTACTAGAAAGAGGACCTCTCTAAGTCCCATTCTCTGCTGTATTCCAGCACCTAACCCAGCAGCCCACACATGTTAGTGGTTCTGTAAGTAGTCACTGAACTAATGAATGAATAAGAAGATGTCAAAGTCCTATTCCTGCTCCCAATTTCCTCTTCTTGGAGAATGTGTGTAGATGACATGCAAGTCTCTATTAAACTTCAACCTAGTCTGCAAGTTACATGGTCTCTGATATAAACCAACTCATGTTCAACCACTCATGAAGCATGAAAAGCATGAAGCAGCAGGAAGCATCAAAAAGCTTCCTTACCCAAACACACTCAGGTGTTGGGAGAGAAACTTTCTCAGTTCAGCCCAGCAGCCTGTCACCTGGGCTAGTTCTGCACAGCAGATGCATGCTGGGGTCCACGCTCTGTCCTGGGACCAGGTTTTATTCAGTTCATCTGTTTCTTGGTGGAAGTCATTCCCTCCTATGCTGTCTTGGTTGCAAGTCGCACATGGAGTTTTACAAACCTATGGGTTGCTGAATTGGGCTGGGCAGATTCTGGAGATAAGGCCCCTAAGCAATTACCAGGAAGTGTCTTCCTAAGACCAGAGTCCTGGGTCCTTCTGAGTTCTCTCTAGATGTATACAAGATCTCTGAATTTTAAAATAGAAAACAGGGCATGAGGTAAGGGGGAGTCAGGGGGTGCCAAATATTAAAGATACTTTTGGCAGTAAGAAAAACTACAAATGATTTAATATGAACAGTGGTGGGCGTGTAGAAACTGCACCCGAAGAAAGACAAGGTTATATTTTTATCATTAAATATAAGGTGTCAACTTCCAGGAGCAGGTGTTTGGTCCAGCAAGTCACAGGTTTGGGAGCCTGGCATCTCATATGAGAGTGCCTAGGTGTGAGTCTTAGCTAGCTTCCCATCCCAGCTTCCTGCTAATGTGTGCCCTGGGAGGCAACAGGTGATGGTCCAAGAACTTAGCACACTGCCACCCACATGGGACACAGGGATTGCATCCCAGCTTTGGCCTGGCCCAGTACTGACAACTGAGAGCATTTAGTGAGCAAGCCAGCAGGTTGGGATGTTCTCCCCCTCTCTCAAATAAAATCTTAAAAATAGATAAATACAGGAGTTAACTTCTGATAGAGACAAGTGCTAAGAAGCAATGGGGGCAAGGGAAAGATGATGGTCTAATTTACATTCAGTGGCACAGCTGGTTAAAGCCCCAGCCTGCAGTGCCAGCATCCCATATGGGAGCCAGTTTGAGGCCTCGCTGCTCTACTTCCATCCAGCTCTCTGCTATGGCCTGGGAAAGCAGTAGAAGACACCCCAAATCCTTGGGCCCCTGCACCCATGTGGGAGACCAGGAAGAAGCTCCTGGCTCCTAGCTCCTGGCATCAGATCAGCTCAGCTCTGGCTGTTGTGATCATTTGGGGAGTGAACCAGAGGATGGAAGACCTTTCTCTCTCTCTCTCTCTCTCTCTCTCTCTCTAATCTGTAACTCTTTCAAATAAATAAAAATAAATATTTAAAAAAATAATTATTTACATTGAGTGGTCAGGAGCCAGCCTTATGACATTAAAGTCAAAATATCATAAATTCTGGTGTATGATTTAACCAAGCACATTATGCCCTGAGGTCACCCCTAATGCTGGCTCCCGCGTTATTGGCGCTCAGAGGAGGACCAGAGGAGCTCGCCGGCAGCTTAGCCTCTGAGTGCCCCTGGCGCTCACTCTCCCAGCTGTGCGCAGGCTCCCCAGAATCGGCACCTGCGACTTCACTCAGTTCCTCGCCCGAAACCCCGAGGGGCCACAAGAACCAGGAAGGAATGGTACCGCTGAGTGCTGAGCACAGGGCCTGTGGCACGCAGGCAACTCCCCCGCTCTCTTCCGAAAGCCTCCGGGTCTCAGCGCCACCTGCCCTCTTCCCTTCCACCTTCAATGGCCTAATCCAAGCCAAGGTCTGCGCAGCTTCCTCGGAGCACTCAGCCTTTTCCCAGTCCCACCGGCCTGGGAACCATGAGCTCTGCCCACCAGACAGGACGGGATGGAGTGCGGAGCGGAGCCTGGAGGCCAGGCAGGTGGGTACAGGCCTCGAGGCCCCAGACTTCCGCTTGGGTCTCTACTGGGCTGCTGCGGGGCATCAGGGGAGGGAGGTGTGTGCACAACGTTTACCTGGGCCTGGGCAGAAAGAAACATCAGTGAGCGTCAGGAGTTGCGTGCCCATTGGACACCCAAAGATGCGCGCCACGCAGCCCTGCCCTCGCAGAGTTCGAAGGCTGGTGCACTGTCCCGGCTGCGACAGTCCTAAGCGACGCTGAGTAAGTGTGAGCGGGGCAAAGTGGAAGCAGTCCCGGCCCAGCGGGTGATTAGCCTTAACTGACACTTGAGGTCTGCAAAGGAGTTGGGACAAAAGAGGAAAGAGGCGCCCTGTGAAGGCTCCAAGCCTCCAAAGAGCAAGGGGCACATCCTGGACCCTGGGCGCGGCGGAGGGAAGCCGGAGGAGAGGAGAGACTCCCCAGGACAACCTCCTGCCCCTGGACTGGAGCAGGGAGGGTTCGCTGACAGAATTCGCGTTGTTCGGGGCTTCAGACACCCAGCTAAAGCCCGCAGGCCGCGTGCCTGGAGTCGCGGAGTCAAAAAATGAATCCCGCGTTCAGGACATGCAGAAGAAGAGATCTCATCCCAGAGATGCCACCGGCCTGGGGAATGGGATGGCAGCCTGAGGCCTGAACGGCAGGCTGCGGCCAGAGCTAGAGGAGCCTTTAGGGAACGCTCCGTCCTAAGGCCTTTGGGCTATGGCAAAAGCTGCTGGATCTCCTCCCCAGGGGTCACCTCTCCTGAACTCGCTGGCGGAAACGCACAAGTCGGAGTGATGACCCAGCTGGAGACAGCGCCAGCCGGGACCCCGGAATCATCGGGTCTCCTGCGCCCAGCCGCCTGAGGAGTCTGGAATGGACCCATGGACTCCCAGGACTCCACAGGATGGGCGCGGCTGGGCAGGTCGTCCAGGAGGTAGCAGATGCGCGGCCTGAAAGGTGTCGCCCTCCGCTCGGGCTTCCCTAGGCTAGAGGCTGGCGCCCGCCCGAGTCATTGCAACCCGACCAGGAAGCATGGGGCCCCGGGCGCCCTAGAGGTGGAGGGCCTTCTGCCCACAAACTGCCTGCCACCCTTGGCTCGCTCTTTGGGATAATCCGCACCGGCTCGCAGATAGCTCTTGGGTTGTGAGTAGCTCTTGGATTGCTCCCTAGGGCTGAGCTCAAGAGGCTGGAGAGGAGCGCGGTGCTTAGAAGAGGAAATAGGAGGCATTGAAGGAGGGCGTGCGACTGTCTTCCTCGCGACCACTGGAACGGGTCGGCCTGAAGGCTGAGCTAAGAGAAACATCCAGGACAGCGTGCTTAAGCAGTTTCCAAGAGGTTGATTTGCATTAACCCAAACCTCGGGCAGTGGGTGCCGCGTCCCGCGGAGGGTTCCAAAGTGGGAAATTGGTTGGTCCCTGCTGGAAGCTGCGTCTCTCTGCAGACTTGAATATCCTTTGGTTCCTTCCCAAAGCTGTCTGGGTTGCCCAATAGAGTTAGAATCGCGTGGCCCCTGCACCTCCTAACCCTGACTGGCTCTGGGCGTTTGGCACCGCTAGGGGTTGCCTGCGATGTTTGGAAAGCCGCCCTCACCTGGAATGGAAAGTGCTTCTGCTTCTTGAAGTCCCACACTGAGTGCAGAGAAAACAAGGACGGAAGGCCAGAAGCAGGCTTCCGGAGGGTGGTCCCAGCTACCGTTGAGAAGGAATGCAAAGGTTGGTGCACCTGCTCCTCAACCCGCGCGGAGGTGACGCTGGTGGTTGGGAGTGCTTGCTTAAGCAAGCCGGTTCTCCAACTGGAGCCTAAGCGAACAAAAGCGAAATCTGTCCTTTGGCGCAGTTTATCTACAGGGCAGGTTTCGATGGCTCCAATAGTCTCGTCAAAGGTTCCACCACGTTTGGCAGCTGCACAGACAAATCCTCTCACGTGACGCCGCCGGGATGGGGGAAGTGTAGGGGTTTTCAAATCCTCCTATACACCGGGTCTCATCACCTCCCACCAGCGTCACTTTGGGCAAATCACAGAACCTTTCCTCGATCTCAGTTTCCCAATCTGTAAAATGGGGGATAGTGCCCATCTCTCTAAAGATCCATGCTGAGGGTAAAAGAGTCTAATTTTAGGAGGGAGACTCGAAGTCCTCAAACTCCATACAGCACATGCTAGCGACAGACCCTCCCCTGCTGCCTCCCGCCTACCTCCCCCACTCCTGGCTGACTGAGCCGGTGCGGGGTTTCCGGCCCGTCCTCCCGAGAGAGGCTGGTGCAAAAGCCAATAAGCCTGGAACACACGCAGGTCCCTCCGGGCCCGGGACAATAGTTTCCATTTAATAAATATTTCCCCCAAGGGCATTTCACATCGGGCAGGCAATTATTCAAAGGAAACAGGCGCGCAGGTTGGCTCTGCGGGTTATTTCGTCCTCTTTACCCGAAGAATGCTCATCTGACTCTAGAAACGAGTCTCGCTGCCTCGCTGGGTGGGAAGAGGCGCCCAGGGACAAACCGAGCCCGGCTGCAGCTACAGCCGGAGACTGCTCTAGGGCCGCCGTTGAAGCGGGGCTGGGAAGCCCCACCACCGCCGCCGCCGCCGCCGCCAGCTGCCGCCAGCCGTCTCTACCTGTTTGGACAATCGAGGAGGGAAAGTTGAAGGTTTACGAGCATTAAATAATAGCAATATAAATGGGAACCCTGATGGAAATCCAACCCTCCTCCACTTCTTTCTGGGAAGTGGGGAGCAGGTCGGGGGCGCGCTGAAGGGCGCATCGGCCGGGATTCGAAGCCTCTGCAGCTGCGCCCGCGAGGTTTCTGGGCGTCGGCTCGCTGCACAGGGCTCCCCTTCGGGCCCGGGGCGCAGAGCTACACCCTGGCGCGGCGTCCTGGGGCAGCCGCAGAGACCCAGCCTCAGGGGAGTCCTGAGAGAACACTGCCAATGGACCCCCGGTGGTCTAGCGCGAAAAGTTTATTTCTCTTTTTACCCTGAGTTTGATGTATTCTTTTCGCTCTTCCAAGGATCTTTGGCAAGGGAGGGGAGTGCTGTCCTTGCATTTCGTGGCGAGATTGTCCTATTTATCAACACAAGCTCTGCCTCGCTCCCTTTTTTGTCCCCTACCCGGATCTCGAAATTCGAAGCACTGATTCTCCCTGGCACAACTGGGAAAGAGTGCGGGAGACGCGAAGAGTTTTGCTGACAGTCCAGAGACAATAAGGAACCCAGGCCCCCAGCCCTGAGCCAGACGCTCGGTTCTCTGGCTCTCCGGGTCTCTCTCCCCCTCACACCTCTCCCCGCCCCCGCTGGTCGCACTCGGTCTCTCCTCCACCCGCGTGTTGGCAGGTGCGCCCCCCCACCCCCGCCTTCTCTGCTGCTGATTGGCGCCCAGGTTGGGGAGTCGCCGCCCCGCGCTTATGTCAGAGTGCGTGCCGTCCGGGCCCACCTCGCCTTTGAACTTCGCCGCTTTGGGCTCTCCTTCACCAGCCTCCCCGCATTCTCAGCCAGGTGCAGCGCTGGGCGAGGCAGCTCCGGGAAAGCCACGGGCGGGGGGAGCTACGGCCAGAGGCGCAAGAGGAGAGAAGGGAAGGAGAGAAGGCGAAGGTGGAAAAGGGGGAGAAGGAGGAGCTTCCTGCCCTCGCCAGAAAATTACCTGGCCACTCCACACCCGAGACTCCAGCACTTGGGCCCAGCCTCTGGCGCCCGCAGTCGCCAGCCGGTCGCCCTTGCCTCCCCCACCCCCGCCCATCTGCCCCCCACTCGCCCCCCGGGGGCTGCCTGGGTGCTGGGACTGGCATGATCAGCTGAACTTTGTGGGGGGTCAGCTCTTCTCTCCGGCTTCCCCTCAGCAGCGCCGAGGTGAGGGGAGCGCAGAGCCCCGGGTCAGGACGGACAGACAGACGGCCAACTGCGCCCAAGCTCGCCCTCGGAGGCCCTGCACTCCCCACCCCCGCCCGCCTAAGCCGCCGGGACCATGTCCAAACCTTCAGACCACATCAAGCGGCCCATGAACGCCTTCATGGTATGGTCCCGGGGCCAGCGGCGCAAGATGGCCCAGGAAAACCCCAAGATGCACAACTCGGAGATCAGCAAGCGCCTAGGCGCCGAATGGAAGCTTTTGTCCGAGGCAGAAAAGCGGCCATACATCGACGAGGCCAAGCGGCTACGCGCCCAGCACATGAAGGAGCACCCCGACTACAAGTACCGGCCGCGGCGAAAGCCCAAGAACCTGCTCAAGAAAGACAGGTATGTCTTCCCCCTGCCCTACCTGGGCGACACGGACCCGCTCAAGGCGGCTGGTCTGCCCGTAGGGGCCTCCGACGGCCTCCTGAGCGCGCCCGAGAAAGCCCGGGCCTTCTTGCCGCCGGCCTCGGCGCCCTACTCCCTGCTGGACCCCGCGCAGTTTAGCTCGAGCGCCATCCAGAAGATGGGTGAAGTGCCCCACACCTTGGCCACCGGCGCGCTGCCCTACGCGTCCACCCTGGGCTACCAGAACGGCGCCTTCGGCAGCCTCAGCTGCCCCAGCCAGCACACGCACACGCACCCGTCCCCCACCAACCCGGGCTACGTGGTGCCCTGTAACTGTACCGCCTGGTCTGCCTCCACCCTGCAGCCCCCCGTCGCCTACATCCTCTTTCCAGGCATGACCAAGACTGGCATAGACCCTTATTCGTCAGCCCACGCCACAGCCATGTAACCCCCGGCCTGGCCCGGACCGGAGGGGTGGCCTGGAAGCGGGGTTTGCACCCTGTCCTCTGCACCTAGCCCTGCCTGGCCTGCAGAAGCCTCTGGGTCAGCCCTGCCGCCGCCCCTTACCCGGTCCCAGACTCGGCCTCTCTCTTCCAGGGAGAAGGGAGGGGCGTCCTACCGACCAGAGGCGTGGACAGGTGCAGAAACTTGCAGACGTTTTGACAGCTGCGCTGCCCCTATCCTGACTCTCCCCCAAATCTCCGACTGTACCCCCTTTGGACAAAGAAGTAGGCAATTTTGCTTTATTTATCTCCCCTTCACTCTCCTCGGATAGGCTTTGGACTCCGAACTCCCAGATCCTGGTATTATATCTAGAATATGCATATATATATATTTTTTTCCTCTTCTGCCCCTGAAGAAAAAAAGAGTTGGCTGTTTCTCTGTGTCTTGCCATCAGACACAACCAAGCGCCATTTATTCTTCATGTTTGGGAAAAAAGGCTTAAAAGTTTTAAACTACAGCAAGGGAACCATTTCTATTTAAAACCATGCTATGATATAGTGTTTGCTTCTTTAAAGGGAAAACAAGAAGGACCCACATGGTTATTTACTTTGTGTCAAGCAGTGTTCCTAGAGACCTAAGTTTACTGTTAGACAGAAAATCGGGTTCCGAAGTCAGGAAGTGGAAAGTGAACAACAACAAAAGGATTAAAACATCCTAAATAATGGTAAATGTTTTGACGATGTCTTGGAAATGTACCTGGAAGGATTTTACCTCGTTACTCTGTTCATTTGTTGAACAAAGACGTTTTGAATAAAGACAATCTGTCGTTGCAAAAAGTAACCTTTGATGTGCCTAAAAATCTGGAGTCAGGAGGCCAGGGCAGCGGGGCCGGGGAGTCGGGTCGCGGGGAGGCGCCTTGGGCAGTGATCGCTGGCGGCTGAGCTGCGCGTTGCGCTGGCCGAAGCTGGCGGCCTGCGAGCCGGCTGCGAAGTGACCTAGAGTCTGAGATCCCTCAGGATCACGCCCGGGGGATCCGTTCTAGGCCTTTATCCATCCCTGGGACGTCGCTCCTGGCCCCATTCTTCACGAAAGGGTTAGGCCACTCCGAGAAGCCAATGAACCAAGACAAAGGCCGAGTCTGGGTGCGTTAACTTTTCTAAACCAAACTCGAAAGGAATGGGGAGAAGCGCCGATTCTCCCGGGAACCAGTTGCGCGCGGAGCACCACGGCCTGCGGTGGACCTTTAAGTTCAAGGCTCGGGGGAAGCCGGGTGGAATCGATTTGCTTTTCTTTAGGTGTCTGGAAAAACTGCCGCTGGCTCCTATGGGGAATCTGGCTATTAGTCCCTAAGTTAGAAAATAAAAGCCTAAGAAATGCCAGAAGACGCGACCTAGCTCTGCGTCCCGGATGGTCAGAGACTTTTTACTAAGACCATTTGGGAGCAAAGGGAAGAGACAGGCGATATTGGCATGGCTCAGGCAAGGAGTTTTTCTAAAAAAAAAAAAAATCATAAAAACCAAATAACTCGCGTTTAACAAACAAGGAAAGGAGCCCTTCGCTTTCCCTTCTGGGTGAATATTTGTTTACTTGAAGATTACTGCTTTTCCCGAGGAGAGGGGACCCTGATGCCAGCCAGCACAACTCTCTGGAACTTCTTCTCAAAATCAAAGGCGCTCCCCACCCTCTGTCTCCTGCGAGTCTCGCCCCCACCGCCTCGCTCACGCGTGTTCTCCCGCAGGTCGCGCGCTCTTCTCGCTGGCCGCGGTAGGGTGCGGGTTGGGGGTGGGGCAGCCCAGGCGCTTGCAGGCTTGCCGCGGCTGCTGCTGCTAGGGGGTGGGGACTGGGGACTCCAAAGGAGGCTGTGGTTCGAGGTGCAGGGGAACCGTTGTCAGCAGACACCCAAGCCGGAGCCCGCGGATTAGCATATTGTCCTCAAAACAATTACAAGTGTTTGAGGTGCTGTTTGGATCCTATTCATCCTAGCCCCTTTGTCAAAGGGGGATTTTCATTATTAAAAAAAAAAAAAGTTAGCAGTTGTCCATCTGGCTGAGCTGAATGGCAAAGTGATTCGTGTTGTATATGCTTTTCTCATTAAGAGCTCTTTTGAGACCGATGTTAGAATTAAATGGTATAACACAATTAACATACACGGGAGCTGAATAGGAGGGGACGCCTATAAATAATAGATAGATAAATAAATGAGCGATCAGGCGAAGGTAAACAAAGGCGAGCTTGGGGGAGGCGCGGGGGAGGCCGGGAGGGCTGCGCTACGCTTACTTAGCATCACAAAACCCTCTTACAAATAGAGACAATTAGGAAGTGACTTGCCTCTGGTGGCCGTCCGGTCCCGGGCCCCGGGCGCACAGGGAAGGCCCCTCCTCCCGCCCCCTAGGAAGCCCAGGAGGCCCGGGGCGGAGGCGCTGCGGTTTCGCTGTCTGATGTATCCCCAAACTGACAGTCCTGTCAGGCGCTCTGAGCTCCCTCATAGCTCAGTGTCCCTTAACATCTCTTAAGATGAAGCTTCCAGGGGTCTGAGTGTCTCCCTGCAGAGCCCAGCGCGGCGGCGCCCAGCCCCCGGGAGGAGTCCAGCGCGCTCGGCCCCACAAGGGTGCCCCGCCAACTCCGAAGTAGGGTTAGGCTGGAAACTGGGCACCCGGCCGGGCCGAGAGCGGAAGAACTCTGGCGGCGGCCGAAGCTGGAACACGGAAACGAGCGTTCCCGATTGCGCCGGCCCTGGGGACTCGGAGGGGAGCTCTGGGAAGCTAGGGTGCGCTGTGGCCGAGAGGTGCCCGCACTTCTATCCAACCCGCACGGAACGGGGGTCCAGCGTGGGCCCGGCGACCCGAAGCCTCAGGCCTGGCTCAGGCCGTCTCTGCCCAGCACGCCTCGCTCCCGCCGGTCCCCGCCTCGGCCCCCGCAGGCCGCAGAGACTCTGCTGAGGTGCGCGGCCGCGACTCGCCCTCGGCACCAGCCGCAATCCTCCCCGTCACGCCTCTGACAGGGGCCGATTACAGACTTTGAAGTCAGGCGCAGACAAAAAAGAAATCCCCTGAGGGTGTATGTGTGTGTGTTGGGGGGGCCGCCCCTGTCAAACCTGTTTGCTCACAACTGTCTCTTTCTTTCAAGAAAATCATTAAAGCAAACCTGTAGGGAGAGGAGCGCCCCGCCCGCGCGGAAGTCCAGAAGAGCCGCGACGCGCGGCCCGGAGCAGCCTGGAGTCGCACGGCAGGGACTCCGGGCGTCGGGAGGACGCGACTCGGCGGCCCTGGGGGCTCCCGGGACCCCGCTCCGGGGGACTGCGCCGCCGCCTCGGCGCTAGGCACGCGGCCCCGCAGCCAGGGAGCTACACGCCTGGGCCTCCCCGGAGCAGGGGTACCCAGGAGGCCCCAAGCCTCCTGCCTGTGGAGCCCTTGTTTCTGGGGGACAAAAAAAAAGTTGACCCCAACAACATCCGCGCTCGCCCCGCCGCCGCTGTGCTGGGCGTTTCTCAGCACCGCGGAGAGCTCCATGGCGCGCTCTCGGGCTGGCGGCCTGGCGCGGCGCGGGAGGAGGGCTTGGGTTTTTAGCAAGGGTTTCTTGGCGCGGGGGTACACTGGCCACGTCTTCTGAGACACGCGGGTACCTTGGCCTACGTCCTCTCCGCGGGGGGATCAGAAACCGTGATTCCCTTCAGTTCCCAAGTTTTCCTGTTTAAGTGCCAATTTCCTCAGAAGCGCTGTGACGGCCAGCTACTGTGTGTAAATCGCGCCGAGGTGTGAGTGACTGACCTCCGAGGCTGTGGCAATGCCTGCGTGTTAAATCGTGTTAATCGCGCTGGTGTTTCAGTCAGGGCAGGGTTCCCAGAACACCGCACGCACCTAGGTTAAGCGGCTCCCGCCAGGGCAGCTTCTCTGGCAAAACCTGAGACTTCTCGGGGCGCGGTGCGGGGTGGGAGTGGGGGTCCTGAACACTTGGCGGGCAGCAGCGCCTGGACTGCCCTCAAGAACTCTCCCGCCACCCTCCCCCCACCTCGCTCCTGCCCTGCCCTGCCCAGGCTGGTCACCATTGTTCAAGTGGGCAATGAATCGCAAGTCCTTTGAATCTGAACGTGGCGGGATTCGCAAGATCCACGTTCGGAATGCTCACTTCTTTCTTTGCTGAGTGGGCTGGGTGCGTTTGTGAGTGTGGGAGAGGAAGAGGACCCCGTTAGCTGGGTGCTTGCCGCTTCCGCCGAGGGCCCGCTCGCCCTGACCTCTGGCCCTTGCCCTGGCCTCGCAGACTCTCGCCCACCATGCGGCAGGAGCGCTCCTTGAGCTGGTTCCATTCCTGGCGCTTTGTAGATTGGCCTTGGCCGCGAATCAGAAGCGCTGGCACTTGGCCGCAGCAGCGTAATTAAGAAAAGGAAGTTGGACGCGGGTGGTGGAGTGGTGGGGGGAGCTAGACACCTGGGGCGTGGACGCGGAACCCGAGGCTCAGAGTGGGCCCCTGCTCCCGCACAGGGAAGGAGTCTGAAAGCAGGAAAGAGCGGACCCAGCTCCCTCCTCCAAGGTCCAGCCCCTGGCCCTGCGTCTGGCACTGCGGTCATTCACGGACTGGTGCCCAGGCACAGGCGCCAGAATGAGAGTTGTGCTCTCCGGAAGCGGCAAGGTCCGCGGTTCCTGGTGTCCCCAGGCTGCCTGCCTGGATTCTCCTTTCTCTTCGCTAGAGTCTGCGCTAAGCATCCTCTCTGATTTCCTCCCCCCACCCCCCACCCCAGCAAAGTCTCCAAAAATTCGGTCTTAGTTGAGAAGGGAGAGGATGGTTGGGCGGGACAGAGGCTGAACGGAGGCCCCAAGTTTCCTCTTTGCCACAAAGTGGTGGGGTCGCGCTACTCAAACAGGGCGTCTCCAAAGTTTTCCACTTGGGCCCGGAGGAAAAGCGATTCACACTCGACCCGGGCAAGGTTGGGAAGAGACTTCCGAAAAACTTCGCCGTCAGGCACGGCTGCAATCGGCTCGGGAAGACCGGAGACAAAACGCCAGACCCGACGACGGCCGCACTGGAGCTGCTGTGGGGGAGAGGGTCCTTCGGCCCCCAGGCCGGGGCGCCGCCTCTGTGTCCTGTTGGACAGCTCTTGCCCTCTTGGGTGCGTTAGGGTCGGGCCACACCTAGGACCCTCGAGGCCCAGGGGCACTAGCGCTGCGGAGAGCATTGGAGTGGTGGGGGGAGGTGTGGCTGCGGGGGTGAGAGCGGTGCACCTGCCTGGCGGGTTGAAGGCGGGCGGCCGCGGTCCGAGCTCCTCCAAGCAGCTCCCGCCGGTCCGCAGCCCGGCTGAGCCCCCGCAGCCTAGCCCCACGCCCCGCCCGCGGATCCAGGACGAGGAGGGGGGCAGCGGCGGCCGGGGCGCTCGCCGCCGGTCCCAGTTCGCCCGGCACCCCCTGTGGCGCGGAGAGTCAATGGGATTTGCACACTCGAGGTGTAACAGCATTACTGCATTAATTACCATTTCCATTTCACGTCCAGATTGTTTACTTATCTGCGGGAAACATATGTCGGGAGAAGTTCACATTCCGGATTCTGCTCCGCTGCCCAAGGTGCAATTCCGGGGAGGCGGCGAGGAGGGGGAAGGGGAGGGCTTCAGATTTTTTATTACACCCTCTAGCCTTATCTACCGCTGTAAATTATGAGGATCCTCCATTGAGCGGCATATGGAGATTATATACTTTTTTGAATATCGTTTCCCAAAGCCTGCAGATTTTCACTTTGAAATGAAACAATCCTCCGCCAGCCCCCCGGGGGCCAGGCGCCTCCTGCGCTCCCCGTCACTGCCCAGGAGACCCTCCCCAAGGGGCCGGGCGCGCACCCTCAACCCCCAAGCCATGGCCAGCGCCCAGCGGAGCCCTCTTTTCCCAGAGTCTCCAAGATCCTCTCGGGGAAAGCCCAACCTTAGGCGGTATATGAGAACCAAGTCTGCACTCCTGTTGTTTTTCTGCACCTAGTTCCCGGACTTGCGCGCGTTGTTTCCATTTGGGATCCCCGCATAGACGCGAGCCCACTTCTGCCCTCTTCCTACGAGCCGCCGCGGCTGCAAACCCGCGACCGGGCTTGAAGGGTCCACACCCACGCTTAGAGCCTGTCAGGCCCTCGCGCCTCTGGAGGCTTCTGGAGAGCTTTGGTCTTGGGACAGCCGACTCCGGCCCCTTTCTTTGTGTGAGGGGCGGTGGAGGTGGCGGGGAGCGCGCCCCGGCGGAGACCGCTTACTGGGAACCCCGCGCGGACATCTGCGTGCGTGCCGGGCAACTGCCTCCCCTCCCGGGTAAGCGGGGCCGACCGAATCCCGTCTTTCTTATCTCTCTGCGACTCCTTTCAGGCTGAGATCAGAGAGGGAGGGAAAGAGGAGACAGAATCATTGTTCTTCTTCTTCTTCTTTTTTTTTAAATTTAATATACCAAGCCACCCGATTAGGTCATTTATATGCTTAATTTAGTGATAAAAGTCAGTGAGCAGAATCACAGGATTCGTCCTTCTTTCTATTTCTTTTGACCACGTTTTCTCTACAGCATTTGGGAAAGCCGAAAAAAATGTTTGACCCTGTTTTCCTTTTCTGTTCATTGCTTTGTCTGCAATGCAATTCTAATAGGTGCACTTTTGTAATGTAATTTGTTTGCTTTTTATGCGACTATTTTTCATCTTGCCCTGATTCCGTTTGCAGGATTACACATTATCTATGTGTAGATACCCACCCTCAAAAGCCAAACTCAAAAATTTTCTTGAAATGCCCATTTCTGTGATTGAGAAAACCCGGTGGGAAACCTATTGTAATGTTAGACCAGGAACAATCCCATTGACCAAAGCCACAAAATTAAGGCAGAGAAGCTGGAAAATAAGGAAATAAACAGATTCTTTTCCATGAAGTATTGTTTTGGGATTGCTAATTTTTTCAAGACCTCTAAGAAAATTGTGAGGTGTCACTTCTCTCTCCTGGGTCTATCTGTAATTGAATCTAGGTCACTATTCTAAAGCAAGAAAAGTCTGCTTCCCACTTTCCTGCGTCAGGCTGAAATTTAGGGGAGGGACAAGGGTCTTGCAATTTCATTTAAAATGTAATGGTGGATGAACTGATAAGCAAATAGTGCAAAAGGAGCCTGCTTAAAAGAAAAAAAAAGCCATGGTTTTAATATGCTGCAGATGGGGGGAGATGATTTACATGAGAGTTTATTTCCTTTTTGCTGATATGAAAGAATTACAGATACAAAACCCA